CACAGACGAAACTTACTAGAGAAGTGTGAAGTGTGACATAATATAATATAGGGGAGCGCGATGCACAAAGTAATGCGGAGGTAGTTGTAACACACGTGGTTTGAATATTTTCACACATGCTAGCATAACAAAATGTACAGTATTTGTTAGTTACCATATCAACATTATATAGTGAAAAAAAGTGCACCAAAATTCAAAAATCTTTTGAAGATATCAATGAACATTTATTTTACCATAGTAAAATTAAAATTCTGGCTTAAGTAAATTTTTATTCTCTGTTTTTAATAATCATTTAAAATGAGACAAATCTGCTATTATTTTAATCTCCAATCTGTTATTTATCAGTTTAGATAGTTTTTTTTAATGCTTCGCTAACTAGCAGAAGACAGCAAGGGGTTTTAAACTCCAGGTGCGCAGATGGGGCATGTTGTAACACTGCGTTACAATGTGCTATTCTATGACATTAGCGACGTAATTCACACTATTTACTTTAATTAATTTTAATGAGAAACAATGAGAAACAGGTGAATAAAGACTGACAGTCAATGTTTAATGTTTAGAAATTATTATTTCAAGACATGTAAAGCATTTTGGCTCGTTTATGTGGGCCGTCCCAAGCATGGTTGCAATGTGTTCATTGTCAAACTCCAAAATCAGATTATTTTTAATTCTTAAAAAACGCCATTATTTTATTTGAAATAAATAATTATTTTATTTTATTGACAAAATATTTTAGTTTGTCTTGTATATTTTTTTCATTGCGATCAGATAACGTTTTAAGCTGTCATATGGTCATGTTACAACGTGCCCCTCAGATGTTACAATGCACCCCACCTACGGGGCATGTTGTCACATTTCACTTCCAATATTTGAGGGTAAATAAAGAAAAACATATACACTGTAATTATGAAACAAAGCGACATATTTATCTGCTATTATTTTAATCTCCAATCTGTTATTTATCAGTTCAGATAGTTTTTTAATGCTTTGATTACTAGCAGAAGACACTAACCAGTTTTAAATTCCAGTTGCGCAGATGGGGCACGTTGTAACACTGCGTTACAATGTGCTATTCTATGACATTAGCGATGTAATTCAGACTATTTACTTTAATACATTTTAATGATAAACGACGAGAAACAGGTGAATAAAGACTGACAGTCAATGTTTAATGTTTAGAAATTATTATTTCAAGACATGTAAAGCATTTTTGTTTATGTGGGCCGTCCCAAGCATGGTTGCAATGTGTTCATTGTCAAACTCCAAAATCAGATTATTTTTCATTCTTAAAAAAACGCCATTATTTTATTTGAAAAAAATTATTATTTTATTTTATTAACAAAATATTTTAGTTTGTCTTGTATATTTTTTTCATTTGATCAGATAACATTATAAGCTGTTATATGGTCATGTTACAACAACGTGCCCCTCGGATGTTACAATGTACCCCACCTACGGGGCATGTTGTCACATTTCACTTCCATTTTTTGAGGGTAAATAAAGAAAAACGTATACACTGTAATCATGAAACAAAGCGACATATTTGTACTAGACAAGTGTAAAATTACTGTGGATAAAAATATATATATATTCTGAACCCCATGTGGATTTACACAAACTGAGAAAGTCAAAAAGTGTTACTTTGTGCCCCACTCTCCCCTATATATATATATACCACAGTTTATATATCACAATTCTGACTTTTTTCTCAGAATTGCAAACTTATATCTCGCCGTTCTAAATTTATATCCAGCAATTCTAAATTTTCTCACAAAAATTAGAACATTTTTCTGAGAATTGCAAATTTACATGTCACAACTATGAGTTTATCTCACAATTCATACTTATTTTCAGAATTCTCAGTTTATATATTACAATTCTGAGTTTGTATCTCACAATTCTGACATTTTTCTCGCAATTCTGAGTTAACATCTAACAACTCAGATTTTTTTTCTCAGAATTGTACATTTATATCTTGCAATTCTGACTTTCTCCTCACAGTTCTGACTTTTTTCCTTCCTTTATATCTCACAATTCATACTTATTTTCAGAACTCTCAGTTTATATATTACAATTCTGAGCTTATATCTTACAATTCTTTTTCTCGCAATTCTATTTATATCTTACAATTCTGATTTTTTTCTCACAATTCTGAGTTACCATTGAACAATTCAGATTTTTTTTCTCAGAATTGTGCATTTATATCTTGCAATTCTGACTTTTTCTCACAGCTCTGACTTTTTTCCTCACAATTCTGAGTTTATATCTCACAATTCATACTTATTTTCAGAATTCTCCGTTTATATCTTACAATTCTCAGTTTATTTCTCAGTTACTTTTTCTCTGAGTTAACAGCAATTCTGACTTTTGTTTTTCACAATTTTGACTTCATTTTATCAGAATTGCAAATTTATATCTCGAAGTTCTGAAATTCTATCCAGCAACTCTGAATTTTCTCAAAATTCTGAGTTTATATCTCACAATTTTTTCTTTTTTGCTTAAAATGCACTATTTTCAAGATGATAAACTTGAGCCATTTGCCAAATTAACCATGCACATTCAGCATGTACTCACAATTCATACTTATTTTCAGAACTCTCAGTTTATATATTACAATTCTGAGCTTATATCTTACAATTCTTTTTCTCGCAATTCTATTTATATCTTACAATTCTGATTTTTTTCTCACAATTCTGAGTTACCATTGAACAATTCAGATTTTTTTTCTCAGAATTGTGCATTTATATCTTGCAATTCTGACTTTTTCTCACAGCTCTGACTTTTTTCCTCACAATTCTGAGTTTATATCTCACAATTCATACTTATTTTCAGAATTCTCCGTTTATATCTTACAATTCTCAGTTTATTTCTCAGTTACTTTTTCTCTGAGTTAACAGCAATTCTGACTTTTGTTTTTCACAATTTTGACTTCATTTTATCAGAATTGCAAATTTATATCTCGAAGTTCTGAATTTCTATCCAGCAACTCTGAATTTTCTCAAAATTCTGAGTTTATATCTCGCAATTTTTTCTTTTTTGCTTAAAATGCACTATTTTCAAGATGATAAACTTGAGCCATTTGCCAGATTAACCATGCACATTCAGCATGTACTCTTCCCATCATCAGTGAATGAAAAACTTTCAATTATATATGTGAATTTGGACATCCCCTGGGAGGTGCTCAATCCTGCTTCTTTATGCTCCTGCAATCAATCACACCCGAACCAGCCAAGCAAGGTCTTCGGGTTTTCTTGAAAGTTAAAAGCATGTGTGGTAAAACTCTAGCTCAGAGTAAGGTAATGCACCATCTTTACTCATTCAACACCGACATCTGATAAGACTAGACACAAAGCACTTTTCTTCCAGAGAAGAGGAAAGGCAAAATGAGCTCTTCACAGTGAATTTGCAAGAGAAAAGGAAAGTCTTGGCAACAGTATTTCAGCGTCATATCACTTACAGCATAGTGGGGCCAAACGCTCCTTTGAAAGCGTCTTCATGAATCACACGCAGATATTTGTTGTTCTTTAATACCCTGCAAAACAAACAGATTATACTGTGACTTTACACTGATGTGTCGGATTTACTTTGAAACTATTTTCACTCAGAAATTGCTAGTAAATTTCACAAATAATATATAAAAAATAGTATTATAGTAGCATTATAGTATAGTATTATAGTACAGAATAGTATTTTCTACAATAATCTTTTGTTTACAACAAAAATATTTTTTACAGTGTAAAGCACAATACTGTAGATAAATAACATGACTAAAGCAGAACTGAAAGGTGATTAGTGTATCCATAATTTGTCAATATTTACAGTTTATCTATTTTAGTTCCATTGAAGGCATGGCTTTCTATTTCTTGAAATCCATTGTTAAAGAGATTCCTGAGAAGACAAAAAAAAGGGGAAAAAAATATAAATAGCAGATAATCCTGAGTAAAAAAAAGAAATACATTTATTTCATACTAAGTATAGTTCAAATCTATTAACATATTTACTGACATATCGCCTCGAGACTCGAGACTTTGAATTAAACTTTACTTGGAGTACTAATTGTGCACAATGCACATTTCATAGTGTTTCCTAAAATGTGTTTCAATGTCACTATTGAGGAGGATTGTATGATCTTTGAATAATATCAGTCTTTAAATGCAAGATGTGTACCTAAAGTATACTTGCAATAGCTCCACTTTAGCACAATCAAATATACTTCAGTACATCTTTAGTTGGACTTCAGTGCTACTTCCGCACAATAAAATTGTGTATAAAATTAGTTGTTCCAGTTTAGCATACTAGTTTAGTATACTAAAAGTACAATTGCACTGTATTTTTATTAAGTACATAAATATGTAAATGTATTTGTAGTATACTTAGCATGAAATAAATGTATTTCAAATACATTTTAGTATATTTATTTTCACTAGGGATGACTTAAAGTCCAAATACTATGGTACTTACCACTATTGTGTTCAAGTACAGAATTGTCTGGTTTAAAACCTGTTGCCTAACACAACACTGATATTTATATAAAAGTATGCATGCTACAGGAAGTGTTTGTGATTAAAAGCTTTGCTATCTTGTTTGCATACAGACACAGAGATTGAAGGCTGTGTGTCTCGTACACTTACGTAGGCTAAGCAAAGATTTGATTAACAGCATGGGGAGTCTGTCCAAAAAGGGCATTTATTGAAACTAAAAATGCAAAACTTAACAAGATAATTTCATGAACTGAACAAACAAGTGCATGAACTGATTGTTTCAAACGGATCTTAATAGGTTGAGGAGTGATTGTTTTATGGATCTGTCACAATGTAATGCAAAAAGGCTGCTATTAAAGGATGAGGCGGTTAAAAACTGAAATTGATCAAAAAGCAAATCCACAACTCACAAATAAGAGCTGCAAAAGCCGTTGATTTCAAAAAAGCTTTTTACATAGTTGATTGTAACACTCCAAAGAGAAAGGAAAACTTGAAATCGCATCATATGACCCCTTTAAGACATAGCAGCAAAATGGCCCATTTATTTTTTTTAGGGTCAGAGAGGGTGGACAATGGTCATACAAACTAATTTAAGGCAAAAAGAAAAGTAATGATTTGACCCCTTGGACATATACATTACGATAGATTAATTGACCACTGGAAGACCTATATTGATCAATTGTTAATGTGAATATTGAGAGCAATACATACCCTTCAATGTCAATGTCCCAGTTTGGGGTTTGCAAAAAACAGTAAATATTATGTTTAAACAGAAAATATTATGAAATATTATTACAATTTATTTTTAGTGTTTTCTATTTGAATATATTTTAAAATTAGAATTTTCAGCATCATTACTCCAGTCTTCAGTGTCACATGGTTCTTCAGAAATCATTCTAATATGCTGATTTGCTGCTCAAGAAACATTTCTGATTATTATCAATGCTGAAAACAGGTGTGCTGATTCATATTGTTTGTGGAAACTTGAAACATTGAAACATGAAATCTTTTGTTTTCAATTGTTGTTGCATTATAAATTACGTTATTGACTCTTTTGATCATTTCAATGTGTCTTTGCTGAATAAAAGTATTAATTTCTTTAAAAAAAAAAAAAACCTTACTGACCCCAAACTTGTGAATGGTAATAAACCTGCATGTCATGTAACCAGTTACCAACATTAGAGAACTGTGAACACGTGAATGTATTCTGAAATTATTGAAATATAAATAAAAATTCGTAGAATTCCTGATCTATGGAGGTTACAGCCCTGAATCCATAATTTGTGAGATACTTGCATTGTGATGAATTCACTCGTCATTCCGATGAAAGCATTTGTTGGGACTGAACGCAGGTTGAGATTATCACAAATATACCTAAAAAAGAACAAAACCACTTCAGTAATGGAAACAATAAGCCCTTTTGCTGACAAGATAAATCTCATGGACAAAGTCTCCTAATCTAATACACCTGTGCTCTTCTCAGCCAGTGTTCTGTATATCTTTCATAACACTCCATTTTCTGTCAGCTTGAGAAAGATTAAAGACAGTAGCATGCCCGCATTACAGCTTCACTATTACTTGCCATCATTCAATCTCACTTACCACATCTCTCACACAGATATAACAGCCGCAGGGTAAAACTCACAGAATGAAATCGGACTCCAGGGAGAAGATGGAGGTCAGGTCAGGAAATACACTTATGCCAGTGTTGGAAATGCTCCTGTAGACATAAAAAAAATAAAAAACAATAGGACTTAGGTTTTTGCTGATAAGAAAACGGAACCAACAAAACACATTGCCACATAGAGATTGAAGCCTGTTATACTACGTTCAAATTTTGAGAATATATACGTGTGTGTGTGTGTGTGTGTGTGTGTGTGTGTGTGTGTGTGTAAGTCACAGTATTCCTAAAAGTTACCCAAAAATTATTTATAATTTCATATATAATATTCTTTATATGTGACCCTGGACCACAAAAGCAGTCTTAAGTCGCTGGGGTATATTTGTAGCAATAGCCAAAAATACATTGTATGGGTCAAAATGATTGATTTTTCTTTTATGCCAAAAATCATTAGGACATTAAGTAAAGATCATGTTCCATGATTTATATATATATATATATATATATATATAATTTATTTATTTATAAAACAACCAGTAGAAAAATAAAAACATAAACAAGATCAATTTATCTCAATTTATCTCTAATATATAAGTTGTTTTTTCTAGATATCAATGATATTATTACAGAGCAAATGGAAACTTTAAAGATTTTAACAGCAGAGATCTTAATAAAGAAAGCTTAACAATGTCTGAGAAGTTGATATTTAATTTAAATGAATATTAATTTCTGGTAAATATCAATTAAAATGTGATTTCTGTAGGAAGGCAGATCTTGGGGAGGAACTGCTTACAGATATCTCAGCTTGGGAAGGTGGTTGAACGCCCATTTGTGAATGTGAACGAGGCTCCGTGTGTTCTGGATTGAGCTGTGACACACGAGAAATCACAAACAAATGACAGATTTTTGTGAAAATAACTTTCTGTTCCAGTCTGTTTTAATTATGACAAGCAATTAAATACAGTCATTAAATGATCCGTGAATCACTAGCATTGTTCCTTGAGTGGTTTCTTACATCTCGGAGACATTCAGAAGATTGTTAAATGCTTCCGTCTCTATGGTTTCCACTGATATGCTCTGGGCGATTTCTCTGGATCCAAAAACAAGAACAAGAAAAATAATAGGTAAAATGTGTCCCAAAACACGATGAGAACAGGAATGTGAAAAGTTGTTCCAGTGTTCCATGTTGACTTTGGCATATAAACTTTGATAGATTACATTTTGTAGGTGTTAACCTTTAACCTTTATTTGACCCTCTAACTCTAGCACTTTCTATTCTATTTTAATTCTACTTTATCTACATTTATC